GACAACACAAGACCCAGAACCTATCAATGCCTTGATCTTGAATCGTCTTAACTTCCAGAACTGTAGCAGTAACTCTATCTTTATAAATTTCCTGGTCTCATAAATTTAGTGATAAAAACAAAAACAGATTTAAAAAGAGGTATGTGTCGTATCTTTGCTTTGTGGCATTAAAAAGTTAGGCAATTCAGTTAACCATGCAGGGTCTTTATTTTCTGATGTTGTACCATCCAGTGTGTGTCCTGACTCTGAAATTATCTAGTTTACACTGACTGATTCTAATAGTTAAAAAAAAAAAGCCCTGTTCTCTAAGATGCTAGAAAGGTAGGGGAATGGATAAATACATACATAAACATATACATATATATGCACTCTATTATACTTCCATAATTTCACCATAGAGCCATCATCACCCCCAAAAAACAAGAAAAAGGGAAAACATTTTATGGTTTCTATTGTGATTCTGACTTTCTTTCCAGTGTTCGCACTTTCTTAAATCACTAACTCCAATGCTGCGAGACTCCCACAGAGCTGGGGTGATACCTAGAATGGCTTCACAGCAGCAAGCATGGTGGCTACACAAACAGCCTGGAGACATGATTATTCCATGAACACACTCAAAACTGGACTCCCTAAGCAAGAGTGGCGGGCAGGCTATCCACAGCCAAAACCACCACTAAGAACAGAATTGCTGCCCAAGGACGCCCAATTAAACTCAGCTACTCTAGATAAGAGAAGCAGGTCTGGTTACCCAATGGGGCTGTAAACCACCAACCTATGACAAGAGAATTTTGATCTGGTGGCAAGAGGGCTCTTTCTCATTCAGGGGAGCATGAAGCAAGATTTCCCAACACGAATGTCACCACCTGTACCCTAGTGATTCCATCTTGTTCGGACAACACCCTTGTAGAGACACCCCCGTAAAAATCGTCTCTATTCCTCCCCACTCCAAGAATCTTCTTAACACAACTTAAGAACCCAGAACAGAAGGGACATGGGGAAATGGTAGGAAAATGGAATTAATTGAGCTCATGTTCGTGGAGGCATTGGCTAAGAGAGTCCCCAGAGAAGCAGCACTGTGACCTTCATGGTAGGTTATAGTCACCCGTTCTGTAGGCAAGACTGGTGTGGTTTAGAGCATTAACAGTTTGCTGACCATCACTGCTTAAGGACTAACCTACAAGGCCGTTCTGCCTCCAGTGCTCGAGTACTTTCTGCAGCAATCATGGGCGAGGCTGTTCTCATTTGGTCTATTTTCTAAAACCATGCAAGAGTTTAAGCGCTGTGAGGGTAAGTGCTAGCGTGGACCCACTGAAGTTGCCTGGACAACAAAGGCCCAGCTCTCCTCTCACAGACAGTAGGAGCAGATTCCTGCTGAGAATCTGCTGAGCTCCAGCAACTTCCCACCTTCACTCTCTCATGCTCATCCACCCTTTTCACGCATGCTCACGCCTAAGGTAACTCCCTCATCTTTGTACTACAGCAGAAGGGTCTTCAGTAGAGACCGTCCCGTATTCTGTGACTTATCTGATCCTAGAATAGAACCTAATGAATGTCTTTGGTTGTTGGTGCTTATGTGTTTGTTTACAAGTTACACAGTCTCAAGAATTGTGTTTTAGCAGAAAAAAAAGGAATATAATCCAGGGGCATTCCACAGCTGCCTGCTCTGGGATCACAAATTCCACCTAATACCTGCTATAAATAAGGCAAGAGGAAAGAGGAAATTGGGTTCCCCTTCTGCTAGTCAGAGTATCTAAAGACAGAAGCAAGGAGGGGTTTGTGTGTGTGTGTAAGAGGGAGAGAAAGAGAGAGAAGAGTGTGTGGATGTGTGTGTGCGTGTGTGTGAGAGAGAGTGTGAGTGTGTGGTGTGTGATGGAGAGAGAAAGAGAGAGGTGTGTGTGCATGTGGGGGGGATCTGTTAATAAATCAATCACAATGGGAAGAAAAATAGAATATACAAATGAGGCCAGACTGGATGCCAGAGACATGTAATTCCAGTGATACAACAGGGTGAGACTGGATGATCACAAGTTCAAGGTCTGCCTAGGCTACAGAGAATTTAAGAGCCATATGGGAAAATTAAGTAGATCCTGTGTGAGACTTTTTTTTTAATTAAAAAGAGGACTGACTGAAGGTGTATCCCTGTGAAGAAGGATAATTCCCTAACATGCTTGAAGCTCAGGCTCAATCGTCAGAAATAGGTATTGCTTTACTCTACATAACACAACAGCTGTCAGACAAAGGCAAGAAGGCTTACAAAACTAAGATACATTTTAAAGTAAGTGTGATGTGCATGGAGGCGCGTGTGCAGGCACATGTAGAGGTACATGTGGAGGGGCATATAGAGGCACAGTGGAGGAGGAGGCATGTGTGGAGGAGGAGGCATGTGTGGAGGAGGAGGCATGTGTGGAGGAGGCATGTGTGGAGGAGGCATGTGTGGAGGAGGCATGTGTGGAGGAGGCATGTGTGGAGGAGGAGGAGGCATGTGTGGAGGAGGAGGCATGTGTGGAGGAGGCATGTGTGGAGGAGGAGGCATGTGTGGAGGAGGAGGCATGTGTGGAGGAAGAGGCATGTGTGAAGGAGGCATGTGTGGAGGAGGCATGTGTGGAGGAGGCATGTGTGGAGGAGGCATGTGTGGAGGAGGCATGTGTGAAGGAGGCATGTGTGGAGGAGGCATGTGTGGAGGAGGAGGAGGCATGTGTGGAGGAGGAGGCATGTGTGGAGGAGGAGGCATGTGTGGAGGAGGAGGCATGTGTGGAGGAGGAGGCATGTGTGAAGGAGGCATGTGTGAAGGAGGCATGTGTGGAGGAGGAGGCATGTGTGAAGGAGGCATGTGTGAAGGAGGCATGTGTGGAGGAGGAGGCATGTGTGGAGGAGGAGGCATGTGTGAAGGAGGCATGTGTGAAGGAGGCATGTGTGGAGGAGGAGGCATGTGTGGAGGAGGAGGCATGTGTGAAGGAGGCATGTGTGGAGGAGGAGGCATGTGTGGAGGAGGAGGCATGTGTGGAGGAGGAGGCATGTGTGAAGGAGGCATGTGTGGAGGAGGAGGCATGTGTGGAGGAGGCATGTGTGGAGGAGGAGGCATGTGTGGAGGAGGAGGCATGTGTGAAGGAGGCATGTGTAGAGGAGGCATGTGTGGAGGAGGAGGCATGTGTGGAGGAGGCATTTGTGAAGGAGGCATGTGTGGAGGAGGCATGTGTGGAGGAGGAGGCATGTGTGGAGGAGGAGGCATGTGTGGAGGAGGAGGCATGTGTGGAGGAGGAGGCATGTGTGGAGGAGGCATGTGTGGAGGAGGAGGCATGTGTGGAGGAGGCATGTGTGGAGGAGGAGGCATGTGTGGAGGCAATAGAACAGCGTTATGGAGTCAGTTTTTCTACCATCTTTATGTGGGTTCTGGAAACCTAACTCTACCCCCTGAGCCATCTCGCCAGCCTAGCATTCACTGATATGATACATTTACAAATTTGTATTTTTACAATTTTGTAGGACCATTTCTGAGATTGTTTTTATTTGAAAAATAAAGACATCATATTTATATTTAAAAATAAAGTATGGCTGAATTACGTTGTAACAGTAGAGACTTTTCCACATGGTCACTCCACCCTCAAACAAACAGAGATGTCTCCTAAAGATAGAGTCTTACCAAAAAAATTCTAAATGTTGATTTCACCTAACCTCTTGGGCACCAGTACATTCCATGTGGTACAGTACAGAGGATGCCCATTCTTGGCCCTGGGCATTTTGCTATGTGTCTCCAAACCTGCAGCTCCAAGAAGAGTTGAGCGGGCAGTTATTACCTCTGCTTTCTGTGCTCAGGGTGCTTCCTAGTAGCCTGGCCACATGATCACCAAATAAGGTCAGTAATTCCTGACAGCCTCCTCCACACATCCTCCTTTTCAGGAAGATGGTCACAATCGAGGTCATGTTTAGTTAAAACTCTAACTGTTTAGCTCCCTCATGGTTGCCCTTCTCCAGGTAGGCCAGCAGGGTGGCATGCGATGAAGGATGACGCATGAGAGGACTAACAAACCAGCACTGGAGGAACTTCCAGAGCCCACGAGGGCTAGCCAGAATAGCATAACAGGAAAGAGCACTTCCTCCGTCAGATGAAAGGGTCCCGCACACCACCCATGTAAGTACCTGGAAGCTGAACCTCTCCCACACAAAAGCCAGACAACTTCCAAAAGCGTTGTTTCTTTACCTCCTGGCTGTGACATCACATCCTTCTTTACAGTTTCCTCCAAGGAGCTGACCTAACAAGCCAGAAAACTCAGGCCCTGCTTTTGACAGACTGGCCCTGAGGCAGAGAACATCAATGGGCCGTTACTTGAGAGCTACAGAGCTTTGACAACCATGACTGGGATTGCTTCAAGTAAGCGTCTAGAACAGCAAGGGTCCAGAGAATACTAATGTGACTTCTAGCTCAAAATTTGAGACTCGGCTACCTGGTCATCTTTCAGAACTAGAAAATACTACTTATTTGTCTATTGAGACAGCTGTTAAGTGCAACCCCCTGGAATAGAGACATTGTCTTGGTATTCAAAGCAATGGTTTACAAGCAAACCAGAGCAGCTTCAAGCAGTCTGGGCATATAGGATGATCCACCCTCAAATGTGAGGACCAGCATCTTCGACTGAAGGACACCTGACTTAAGAGCTTCCTGTCTTTGCTGTGAAGCTGTTGGAGTACTGTGGGAACTTAGCTACATCCCTGGCCTCTCCTGTTGACAGGAGCACGTCCCAAAACTGGGCGGTGCAGCATGGGTCTAGGCATCATGCGATATCTCCTTAGGAGGAGTCGCGTCCACTGAAGCTACCGCCACCAGATCCTGGAGTCCTGAATTTCTCCTTTATATTCGTGTAAAACGTAGAGAACCTCACATTACAACTCCCCCAAGAGGTCCAGAGTTAAATCCCTGGCTTCTCCGAGTCTCCAAGGGTGGGAAGAAATGTGTAGAGACTGGGCAGGTCAGGGAAGGAGGCGGGGAAGAGCTCATCACTCACCAGCATTGCAGGACGTGGGGTGGAGAAGGTGGTGGGGCTGCCCCCGGCAGAATCCACATAGTAGCTCATTATGTGCTCCACACCTGTGCAGAAGAAAAGATTGACTGGGCCTCTGGCTGTAAACGGGCACAGGGACATTAACCCCCGCAAGGCATCCAAATCTTAGACCCCGGCATCTCCCCCAGGAGCCAACTTGTTAGCTTCTTTGTGAGGCTGAAAAGTCAACAGGATGCAGAAAGGTAGGAAACCTAACCCAGGGAAGGACAGGGTGGGACAGACCCTAGCCGCAGCCAGCCAGCGTGGGTCACAGACCTTGTCTGTGTGCTGCAGAAAGTGACAGGGTTTTTTAAAAAAAAAGATCCCTTTGACTGGATTTCTGGACAGGGACCAAGTCTTGTGTGTCTTTTAAAATAAGATCTCCATGAATGTTTCACATGTCCCCAACTCCACCCAGATCTGGCACACTGCAGGAATTCCATATGAAGTAAATAAATTATTGATAGAAGCCTTTACAGAGGCTGCATTAGGGAACGGAAAAGGAAAATGCTTCCACAAGGAGCCTCCAGCCCCAGGCACAGAGACAGGCAGAAGCTCGTAAAACAGGCTGGACAAATTTATTTGATATCAAGAGAAGGGCTAGAAAAATCATTCTGGCTGAGAGCTATTATCTGTATCGGAGGCCTGAATGAGAAGAATGTTCTGGAATGTTCTAATTTAGAGGGATTTTTCCAATGAGCTGCCGGTCACCAAGAAAATCACTGATACATCAAACATTTCTGTTGAGTTGAGTGCTCTCCAGAGTGCAAAAGTTCAGACACTTTCATAAATTCAATACTACACATGAAAATGTGCCTCTCTTGAATGATTGAGAAGATTACATTCCGAGGCCTATCGTTCAGAGGCCAAATTCCTATTGTTGGGAAGTGACATTTCATCCTAGCTGCTCTCCAGTTCCTGTCTGCCCTTGCCCCTTCATTCCTGTGTATGCTCAAATCAATCAACCTATTTCAAGAAAACACAGAAAGTTCAGAGGTGGGTTTTATGTTCAATCACAATTCCAATTCACTCTCTTAATAGTGCCTAATAGTCAACGGCATACCCACTTTCACAGAAATTGTAGTCTGGACTTGACAATATGCAATTCTGCTCGCCAAGGACTTGACCAACTGAGCCACAGCATCCGTTGGGTGAAAAATTTGAGTTTATAAGGCAGAACTTATCCTAGAGCTGTGGGGTTTTGCTTTGAAGTAATGTACCTTAATGAGATGTCTTTCCTCCTCTTCCTTCCCATCCCTAGGCCCCAGCAATGCCTGGGGCAAGTGAAAGAGCTAGTCCTGTGGTCATAAAAGCCTGAGATCTCTCCATGACCCCCAGCAGCTGCAGCCCTCCTGAGAGCAGTCCCTGCACTGGCACAAGAGAGCCAACTCTGTTAGTGCAGGTGTGGGTTTGCCAGCCCTGAGGCTCTCAGCACAGGAACGGTCTCCCCACTTCACATCTGTCTTGTGGTGGCATAAGTTGGGGGAATGAATCCCTCTGGCCTGCCCATCAATGTCTGAGGAGGTGTGAGAGCTGCCCCTACGGTCATAAGAGTGGGAGAACTAGCCCTGACCCCCCAACCAGCTGCACCACTTAGAAGAACAGGCCCTACACCTCACCAGGGCCACAGAAGAGAGCCAGCCCTGTCCGAGCAGGTGTGGGTGAGTCAGCCCTGAAGTTGTGAACATGGGAGAGCTGTCCCCACTTCTCATCTGGCTGACCGACCCTACAGCTGCCCAGGCCTGGACCTAGTGTGATGGTTTGGCCCGCCCCATCCTCCCCCTCATCTGTGATCTGCTGGAGCAGATGACCTGCGGACCCAATGCTGCAGGATCTCCAAAACATAGGGCAACAACAGGATATTCAGGAAGGGGGGTCTAGCGAGGGCCCAGCATTGAGAAGGTAGTAGAAGCCAGAGGCCTCCAACCAGACCACTGACTCTGCAATGAACACCTGGGAGTAAAGATACAAGGACAAAGGGGTTCCCGGCGTGACTCACTGTATCACACCACAGTTTCCATGACAAGATTTTTTTTAAAGTTTTTTTCCCTTTTTAATTTTTATTTCCTTTTTTTCTCTTAATTTTTTTTTTATTTGGGGAGTATGCAGTGGCAGAGAACGAATGCGAAAGGCGGGGAAATGAATGGGAACAAGGCGCATGATGTAAAAGACACAGGAAAAACAAGCTAACTGATGAATTTAAAAAGATGGCCTACCTCCTCAAAACACAGGATAATCCAAATAACATTAGCCAAAAACAAACAAACAAACAAAAATCAGTCTGTTAAAAACCAGGTAAGTAAGAGTTCTAGGTCACTAGGTTTCATCCTTGTTTCCGCTGCCGCTGATGGACCCGGGAAGAACTCCTCAGAAGAGACACTGAATGACTGAAAAAGATCCAGGATGGCCGGTCCAAAAACACTGTTTTTACCTGTCTGTCACCTCTGGCCCATTCAGTGCTCTTCCTAAAATTAGTGAGCAGCTCCATGTCTCAGACTGAAAATTTGATACAGACAACATGGATCCTCATGGGTCTGTCCCAACCTGGTGTGGGATGATAGTATCCAGATACCTGACGGTCCCTCCCTCGCTGAAGCATTCCCTCTTGCTAGTTTTTGGTTTTGTTTTCATCTGAAAATTAACTTTAAAGCTCTTAACAAAGCACCTTCAAAACATACAGATCTCTACAAGGATGAGACCCAAAAGCTGCATTGACTATGCCACACTGCAAATGGCTTATCACGATGAAAGTCCCTGAAGAAAAGCCGGCCAGCCCTTCAGGGTCCTGCAGGATGACCTGTACCTTTGTACTGGAAATATCCAGGCAAGAGGGAATGCTACTTCACGGGAGCCATTCGACCTTCTGGTGTCCCTGCAGGCCTGTCCTCCCTCTCCTAGCTCCACAGCGGGCTCTATTAGGAATCTATTTATTCCTTCAATAGTTACGCTACGCCTCCTATGAAGCAATGTGCTGGGCCCTTGAGACACACTAGTAAACAAATACAGATTCCTGACCTCCTGGCCCCTGGCTTCTAACAGGGAGCAGAGGGCTGAGAAAGGCAGAGTCTGGAGCCTGTGGCTTCAGAAGTGGAGAAGACAAATTCACATGTAACTCTATCATAGTGTGATCGCTACTTTACCAAAAAATATGGAAAATATAAGCAGTGGTTGGTTCTGCCGGGCACATGGAATAGGGAGTCATGGACGACCACAGAGGGAGATGCCACTGTGCGGTCCTGTGAATCACTTAGACTCCCTCAGCAGCAACGGACCGCCACCCTTTTGAATGCCCAGTTTACTTCCATATTCACAAGAGAAAGAACTTTGCGAACTGGCAGCCCTGTGCCAGAGCCCAGCTCCAAGACAACAAGAGTTTCTGTCTGCCAGCCAGACAGCACTCCCCTTCATAGCAACACTGGACGGAGGGAGGGAGGGAACCTCTGGCCGAACATCTGCTGCATTCTATGCTGGACCATCCTCTCCACAGCATGAATGACACTTCCCTTGGGGAAAAGCCCTTTGCCCAGGGAGGAAACTAGAAAGAAGGAGTTGCCAGGGATCTCAAGGGCTCTCATCGCAGGAAATAACTCTGAGACAGAAAGCGATTGCTGCTTTATTATTTTTTTGGAGAAAGAAAAAAAGAACCTGCCCCTTTTCCAGCTTGTAGATTGTGACACAGAACAGCTGCTGGAGACCTAACCCTTTCTGAAGATCCAAAAGGGGTGTGTGTGTGTGTGTGTGTGTGTGTGTGTGTGTGTGTGTGTGGTGTGTGTATCCGTGGGTGTGTGAGTTCTTTCCCCCCCCTTGGCTTTTTGGCCAACAGGAACTCCCTCCCACATGACAACTTCTTGAACATCAACCGGACTTGAACATTTTGTCTTGGTTTTGCACGTGTGTATTACCTAAATAGAAAACAACTGTGTGATTTTAAGCCTTACTGTGCAGCTGAGAAGCAGCCCTGAACCCTGTCTCGGTGCAGGGATGATGGGAACGTATGGTAACAGTGGGCCATGCACAGCTAAACTCATTTTTCCTCAACAGAACTAGCTAGCATTGGCAAATCAGCAGAACGGGTGCTTCCAAAAGGAGACTACTAAGCCATTCTCCCAACCTTCCACCCCCCACAGAGCCCTGCTGTAGCCTCCAAAGCCTTCCACTGCATACCTCAGTTTCTCCCTCCGCTGTACTTCTTTGGTCGCCATGTTTCTGGAAATGCCCTCTGTCCTCCGGTTCCTCCAGAACTGTGAGTCCCACATCTCCTAAGGCCTCCAGGCCTGTGTCAGACCCTGTGCCCCCACCCCTCACTCAGCCACTCTTCACCCCAGCAGGAGCGAGCTACTCCCTTCCGACAGTCGCCAGCGTATTATCTTCCTATTGTCTGCACTTATCGCTCGGCTCTCCCAACCTCCCAACATCTGTTTCTATTTATCTCCCCCTCCCCTTCCCCCCCCCTCCATCCTGAACCGGTTGAAGGTAGGCACTATGCCTTTTTTTTTTTTCACTTTGCATGACAGAAACTCAAATGTTTTTAAATCCGTGACTGAGTGGGTGGCAGGGCCGGTGGGTGGGTAAACAATTCTCTGCCTAAGAATGAAAGAGATGGGTCAGATGGGATTGCACCTGTTTTATAAATTGGAGGCTCTGCATAGACCAGGTCTGGATAAAAACCACCTGAAATGAGTGTGCCCCGTGTCCATCTCTAAGCAAAACCTGTTTCGCTCTGGTCACATCACTATTTCAAGTCACCTTATGGAAGAAACCTGTTCCCAGGGTCCTATGCAAGCAACCGCACCTCTGCACTTAGCCTTTCTTCCCTCTCAGACTCTACCTCACTAGAATTCAAGCTCCCCAGAGCAGAACTTAATCTCTCCCTGGGTTTCTGCAGAGTCTTGCCACGTGACTGACATGCAAATAAATACTGCGGATTAGAGAAAACCTGCACACAGCCTTTGGTTCGTGTTAATCCCTTTTAGATGTGGAGGAAGTCTAGACCACCCTGCCCGCTGCCCAGTTAGAGTTGGCCCTATGGCTTCCTCCTTTCCCTTTG